CGACATCAAAACTTATTCCTCAGACCCAACCACAACATCAACCGACATTAAAAACTATTCCCCAGACTCAACCACAACCTCAACCGACATCAAAACCTATTCCCCAGACTCAACCACAACCTCAACCGACACCAAAACTTATTCCCCAGACTCAACCGACTCCAAAACTTATTCCCCAGACCCAACCTCAACCGACATCAAAACTCATACCCCAGACTCAACCACAACTTCAACCGACATCAAAACTTATTCCCCAGACTCAACCACAACCTCAACTGACACCAAAACCTATTCCCCAGACCCAACCACAACCTCAACCGACATCAAAACCCATACCCAAGACCCGCCCACAACCTCAACCGACACCAAAACTTATTCCCCAGACCCAACCTCAACCCCAACCAACATCAAAACATATACCCCAGACTCAACCACAGCCCCAGCCCACATCCAAGCCCACATCCCAGATCCAACATCAACCACAACCAACATCAGAACTCAAACCCCAGACTCAACCAAAATCCCAGCCCACAACCCAACAAATGTCCCATTCAGTACCTCAAACCCAACCACCATCAAAACTCATACCTCAGGTACAACCCCAAACAACATCAAAACGTATACCCCAGACCCAACCACAACCCCAACCAACATCCCAGCCATTAACCCAGACTCAACCACAGCCACAAACAACATCAGAACCAGTACCCCAGACTCAACCAAAATCCCAGCCCACACCCCAACAAACATTCCATTCAGTACCTCAAACCCAACCACAATCCAAGCCCAAATTCCACACCCAGTCTCAATCACGATCTCAACAAAGGCCTAATATCCAATCAGAGCCAAAAACCACAACGCAACTCTGGGCAGTTGCAAAACCTCAACCAACACTCCATCCCAAACATCCGGGCCAGCATAAAACACCACCCCAAATAAAGACCCAGGCCCTGCCTCAACCACATGCTCAACCATCTCCCCAGCCCACATATATGGCACATGCCCACACACCTTCACCAACATCCCAGGACATACCTCATACCCAACAAGCACTACCAATAATTCACATCCAGCCCCAGTCTGAACCACAATCTCCAACTACTCCTCAGCCACAAACCCAAACACAGCCTCAACCAACGACCCACCCACAGTCCAAGCAAAATGCCAAGAAAAGGTCTAAAGTCAAACCAACATCTCAATCAAAAATGAAATTTGTCAAACCCAAAGACAAGATACAGTCTCAACCAAAAACTCAACCAAAGCCTAAAATGAAACTCCCGCCAAAGGAAAAAAAAAAAAAGCAACCTACACCTCAACCAAAGCTTAAAACCATGGACAAAAAAAAATCTCAAACAACAACACCACAGTCACAACCTCTTCCAAAGACACAGACTCTATCCAAACCTGAACCTCTTCCCAAACCACACCCTGCACCTAAGAGTCATTCACATCCTCAACTTGGGCCATCATTGCAGCCTCAGACCTGGACCTACTCTGATCCCACCAAGGTCACCCCAAGACACACAGTCCCCACGGGTAAAGACCCTACTTTTTGCCATTAGCAAACCATACTTTAGCTACAACACTTGATCTTAAATTACATTTTAAAAGGGGCATATTGATTTAAATTGTGGTTCTATTTGTATTTGTTTCAGGGACATGATAAAAACATGTCCCCATCCAACTAATTTTGTATTGTTCAGTATTCTCTGACTAGATATAAAAGTTTACTTTTCATAGATAATCACAACAAAAAAGAACCATTTTTAGCAGCATTCATTCAGAACAAACAATTATCTCCTTCTGTATTAAAGAATAGGATATGCTCCCTTTAAAAGTTAAAACATTTTCTTATACATAATTCATCTTAGAATTCAAGTGAGTTCTCTTTCATACAGCTCCTAGTCCACCAGAAGAGGGCAAGCCTCTACCAAGACCTGCCCTGGCTACCGAGAGAGTCGGTAGTAACAATCTTGGTAAACATCATGACGTTTGTCACATTAACATTTCTGCTTTTTCGTCAAGCCACATGGAACCCAGTGCTTTCAGTTGTAACTCAACCCATTGGATGATGTCACTGCTTCCCCATCGCCATCTCCATCCCACCACCCTACACACCCTACCCCATCATTACCCCTGCCTCCATGTGTGAATCCATTTTCAGTCCAGCACAGTCACCTCACCCCTGCCCATTCACACCCAAAATGGTCTGGCTATCTTTTGATCTCATGTATGTCTCTGTCACTTAATTCATTGTCCTCATCTGCATTCTTTTTCCACTGTTCTGTCATCTATTCCATTTAGGTAAAGCTCTCAAGTTCTCAAGTAGATCATCTCTAACCTGCCCAATTGCCTTTTTGCATGTTTAGGTACTGGCATCCAAAGACCATCCAAAGATGAAGTCCCTCGTTCTCCCATTAGCTCATCAGTTCCAGCAGGAGCAAGAAACAACACGGTGTCTCGCACCCGGATTCCTACTCATTCCACTCATGTTGGTGTCAGACCACGTTCTCCATCCAAGACATTGACTTCTTCTCACAGCTCCAGCACACCTGGGGGTAATGGACTTCCCTTCCTTTCCCTTCCACTTCCATCCTCTCATTCTCTCTCCAATTTCAGCAGGTTATCCTCTCCTTTCACCACTCCCTCAAAATCTCATCTGCAATTGGGCATCAACAGGAGAAGACAAGAAAACTCATTGTTTCTGATGTAGACGTACAATAGAAATGCTTGTTCTTTTACCTTCTCTAGCTCTATTTTCAGCTTCATGTCCTCTCACAGTCCATATGTTCTCCACGCTGTGCCACATGTGCTCAGTGTGTATCTCAAACCTTTACCCTGAGCAGTAGTGGTGTCTCTGGGGTCAGGATCGTTAACATGATTTACAGTCCTTCATGCTGACCGGGTGGGAAGTTTGGCCGCGGCACTGGCCAGGACACACCACATTTTACACCAACCATGCTAACACAAGAACTGTGCAGAAAGTGCAGCTGCTACAGGCAATCTCCCTTTTTTTCTTTCTCTTTCTGTATCTCTTCTTTTCTCAAACTTTTTTAAGAGTTGTGAAAGAAGTCAGAGTCAGAAAAGTCAAGAGATTAAGTCAAGTCCATTTGTTTCTGCAAAACTAGGTTGAAAACACAAACAAGTCTCCAGCTTAATTGTCACAAACATTTGACAATGAGAAAGAAATATGATAAAGCTCTTTTTTTCTTCTTTCTTCTGACACAAAAAATTGTACAACCTTTTCTCCCTCCAGCAACCGATGGTGTTCAACACAGGGCCATTGCTCTTCCTAAGCCTGTGGTGCGGACCAAAGGAATCCCTGGTAAACACAAACCAAGACGATCACCTGTCAGCGTTCCTCATTCACTAACCCACGAGGCACTGTTATGTCCCGTCCCACACAGTCACACCGATCTGTGCTTTTGTCACAATCCTCTCATCATCTGTGATGTTCAACTCATTTGTCAGTGTGACGTTTCCTGTCTGTTGTGGTCTGTGTTGTCCAACACATGTAGTCGTTGTACACCTGACTGAGACTGAAGCCATCTACAGTATGAATTTAATTTTGGTTTAGACCAATTCTCTGGAATGTAAATAACGATGGACGACACATCTCCACTTCCTCTCACTATTTAGAGATGAAGCTAAAACACCCAGGATATGAATGCTGCCATCTTGCACTGATGATGTAATTTGGAGCCACAGGCTGAGCACTGATGATCGTGGAATAGACCTGCGAACATTTGCTCAACCGATCATGAGTCAGTCTCAGCTGACGTTCCACTCTGTACTTAGACATTTTAGGATTTATACAATCAAGATGCATTTGCTTCACTTTTGTGGAGCCACAGCATTGTCCATCTTTATATACAGAATCCACATGTATTAAGGAAATGCTTGGAAATCTTCTGACATTGCTTTAGCCTGCTTGTTGTTAAAGGTCACACTGTTTTCTAAGCAAATCCATCACGAGTAGTGATGCAAACCACCTCATGTATCAGTTGTGACACTCTTAGTTATGAAGACACTTCGCGCTTCCGTCTCATGTCACAGCTCGTGTGTGCTATTTTTGGAAACATGGACAGTTTCAGAGGTCTTCTTTGAGTCGCAAGGCTCTACAGAAGCAACTCTACAGAAAAAAAGAGTAGTTGTTTTGCCTGCCATTCTGCACACACATCAAAACACAAAGCTGCTAGGGGCCGTTTTTTCTTTTTAAATAAAAAACAACTAAATTACAACCTTTCAAACCAAACTGCATTCTGCAGCTTTGTATATTTGTAATGAAAATCTGGTGAATTAGAGCGTCTCCTCAACAGTTTTAGTTCATATAGGCATTTCAACTTCCAATGAGAAAACTGGTGTGCAGTATTTCAGTGGGAATGTTTGTGTAGCCTGAAAGTAAAGTCTCTTTTGATGGCACATATTTCCACCTTCTCTGAAGATTAAGTTATCTGACAGAAACCAGTGCACGCACCACTGCTGCTGTTTTAAATCATAGATCAGGGTCTGAGGCCTTTGGCACATCAGAGGCCCGGCCGTTCTGTTTGACTGGTTAATTGTGAGACGGCGAAAACTAACCCTGTGCAGAAACTGTTGAACACTGACCAGATCGTTTTTTACATATTGTTGACATTGCATCTTATCACATGACATCACCTTGGCTGTGTTTTCATTCCCTGCCCAGTTACTCATGACTTCACCCCGTTGAGATGTCTCGTCTTTATACCTCACGTACCCCTGTCTTGTGTATTTTTCATTTTTTGCCCCGCTTTTAAATCACTGCCTCAACGTTTCGTATGACTATATATGAGCATATGTTTGCTATTAGCTGTCAGTTATGCCACGAGTGAGTCAGAGTCTTTACTAGAGTGTATTCTCAGTGCTAATCAGTGAGACTTGGCAGATGCTGTTTGAGTTTGTCTTGATAGTCTCAGCTGTATTTCTCTTGGGAGGAGATGCCAGAGATCACTGATTTATGCAGCTCAGGGGGAGGTCAGCTGCAGCGAGGAGGAAATGAATCCAAAGGAAAATGGGGGGTTTTTTTAGACCTTGATAATCGAACATCTACAGAATCTTTTAAACATTAAAGAATCTCTGCGATAAGAAAATGACAAATGAACCCTTCTCTGAAAATGGATAAACTCTGAACTGTGATGCACGTCACTGATATTTCATGTGTCAAACCTCCCAGAGCTCCTCGAATCACAACAAAGATTTCAGCTGGTTTAAGAACATGAAATCATGGCAGAACACTAAAGAAATGTGTTTTCATCACACGGCCCTGTTCTTCATGCGTTCACTCCAGTTCACTAAAGCCAAAACATTTGTTGTGTTCATCAATTTAGGTCTTATCTCATCGCTTGGCTTGATCTTTATTTGTTGCGTTGTTTTCTGTGGAATAGGGATTTTCTGGAAAATTTGATCATCAAACTGTGTCAGATCCCAAATAACTTTCATCGAACGGATTCAAAATCATATAAAAAAGTTATTAGACTTTATACATTGGTTTCCTGTTAGGGTTTGACAGAGGATTTTTTTTAATTCCTCAGTTTTACTTCAGGGGATTTTTAGGATGAGCGGCTGTAGCGATGGTTTATTGGTTGAATGTATTAAACACAGTTGTTTTCGTTAGTTGAAGTCCGTGGCAGTGCACTTCACACAGTGACTTCACCCTTTCACATGCAATCTGCCTGGCTTCATGTGCTGCGTCGTTGCTTGTTTAATGTCCGTGTTTGTACTCTCGTTTTTTTTCAGAGCACAGTTGTCTCCTCATTCTTTCATCAAAATAACCAACCACACTTATTTTCAGTTTTGCATCTGTTCTTCAGTGCCAGCCACCTGCTGCTCCGTCTCAGTTGTGATTTCTAACCTGAAATGGACTCTTGTTTCCCATGATTCCCTGCAGTGCAACCCGCTATTCCCGTGAACAAGAGACCAAACCTGGTGGGGAAACCAACTGACTATGGTGAGGGCGACAGTGATGGATGCATTGAACACTGCTGCACCTTGTCCTGTGTACTGTAATTAAACAACAGCCGAGTGGAAGACTCGACTCAATGATTCATAAACCAGTGACTCAAACCTTTCCTTTACCCGCTCCTTAAATTAAGAACATTTCTACCATATTGTAAACTTTTGTTTTATTTAGATATTTAGGAACATCATGAGGATTATTTTATCTGTTCCACAAATGGAAAATATGCAAGTTAAAGGGACAGCATGGAATTTTGGGAAATTACTACTTTATTCTTTTAAAATCAAGTTTTTTTGAAATGTCAGATTTTATTGTCCCCTTGAGTGGCCGTAATACCCGGTGTTATAAAACAGCTTGTAATGACATCGTATGTGTGAAAACCCCAAACAGCATTTATGTTTGCAGAGCAGCTCATATCAGGCTTTTTTCTCAACTCACTCACTGTTTTAACATAAGTGTAGTTGTGTGCTTAGTAGTCTAGTGTGTGAATAAGTTCATGGTTTGGAGCATCTGGGCATCCTTGGACAGCAGCTGTACTCAGGCCTTTTCCCCTTCAAAGAGCACAAAATATATTACTCAACAAGTCAATCTCTGATCTTTCTGCAGCCAGGAAAAGGCTGTGGAGTTGTTCAGTGAAGATGGCCAGAGCAGATGGACCACAACTGTGTGTGTGACTGTGAGTCAGATGATGACGCAGGTGAAGAACTGATCTATTTTCCTCCTCCTGTCTGTCCTCAGATAAACTCATGGACCTGAAACAAGGAGGCAAGGAGTCCATCTTGAAGCCGTTCCCTCTTGTCACAGCCAAGCCCAAGCAAGAGCGAAGACAGCAGACGACCACCCCTGCCCCGGCAGTAAACAGTACGAGAAACAAAACTTTTAATGAGTCCTGGGAGGAACTGCTTTTTTTATCTTATCCATAAGTTTTCAAAAATATATGATTGACATGACTCAGTATATGTACATTGATAAACAGATAAATGGGTCATGCACCCTGCTTGTGCAAAAGGGATAAAAGAAAAATTTATTTTAAGAGGCACGAAAAAGCCTGAGTGTTGCATCAGCTGGTGCACGCTGCTATTTGCCCAGAGCTGTAAAACTGCGGACAGAGAGAGCTGCCAGGGACGACTGGCACATCAAACCAACCATAACTCCTCTCTCCTGTTTCCTTTTCAGGCAGCCACTTTGACATATATGAAAACTCCTCCATATTCAGGCCCCTGCCTGCATCAGACCTAGACATCATGGGCAAGAAGCGTTTTGTAGGTAAGACAACAGCAGGTTTTAAGCCTCCGTTATTGAAATCATCAGCTTTTTATCAAAAACTATCTATCGCGTAAAAATATTGAAAAATATATCCTGTATGAATAATAAACCACTGTTCTGAATGTCTCTATCTCCAGCTCCCCACGTGATCTACAAGACGGATAAAAAGCCAGACGAGCCATGCTCCATCACCTCCTCTCTCTCTTATTTTCCTGACGAGGAGGGCAACGATCAGAATGTGACGTCCCCACCCCGCTTACCACCCTCCAACCTCACTGTGGTCACCGTGGAGGGCTGCCCGTCCTTTGTCATTCTTGACTGGCAGAAATCTGACAATGAGACCAGAGGTGCAGCACATGCACAGGCTATTTTTAAAGTCTTGTATTCAGGACACTGGAATGTGTCGGGATGCTTGGATCCTTTTATGTTAAATTAAAAGTCTGGTTTTCATTTTTCTGAAAAACAAAATGTAGGCTAAAGATTAGAGGCAATACACTATTTGCTTGTCACTATGTTATAACTAATGGCTAAAAATAATGTTTCAATTCTATCTGTTCTTGGTCAGAATATGAAGTTGTGTCCACCGCTAAAGGACCGAATGGACAGGAAGTGTCCATACTGACGACCAACCAGACACACACAGCTGTGGAGAATCTCAAACCGGAGAGCAAGTACGTGACCCAGTCATCGGACAAAATCTTGTCATGGAAAAAACCTCCAGTTGGTCAATTCCTCTTACTGTTGCACACTTGGGGAAACAAGCACCAGGTTTACATTACTCTAAGGTTGTCTAAATAAACCCTTTGTTTAATAAATACTTTATGCTTGAACTACTGGCTGATTACATTAGTAAGGTTCACTGCAAACAAGTATTAAATTACACTGAAGATGCATTTGTTCTCTCGCAGCTCATGCAGTGAATCCCGTTTTGCAAAAATGGCCAAAGTGACACAAAAGCTGAGGAAATGTGGGTGGAGTTGTTTTTTAATTACATCTCTACATCTGGAAATCTCGAAACTCACCAGAACCCACCCCTGGGCTAGGTTTCTGTCCCAGTTTTCGCCAGGACATCTGAACGCAGCACGTGGAATAACCATGAGCTCTGTGTGTGCGTGTTTGTGTGTGTGTGTGTG